GTATACTCGTTTGAGATTTCTTTGTGGATTGACTGATATTTTCGGTAGAAGGCCAAAAGGCACTGGGGTCCACATATTTAGTACTTAGGGGCTTGAACAGTTTTGGTTCGATTTAGACAATTTTTGGCCGCAAGGTGGCATACTTAAATTGCATTATTCACGCAAAGTTTTACCCCGATATAATCATTGTTACCTGATTTTCATAGTGGAAAGTGAAAGAATCAGATGGAATTGAAAATGGTGTTACATGGGAAGTAAGCGTGGTTGTAGTCCGATTTCGCCCATTTTCGCACTGTAACATAGAAACATGAAAAGAACGTTATGCACCGAATTTGGTTGAAATCGGTTCAGCAGATCTCAAGATATGGGTTTTCACCTAAAAGTGGGCTGTGCCACGCCCACTGACTAATTTTTAACGCGGCGTCTCTGGCGTGTTTAGTGCTTGATTTATCGCGCTTTTAGTAGTTTTTAACAGTACCGTTATATGGGGAGTTGCCACCCGATTTCAACTATTTTCACACCGTCAATAGAAGTGCTAAAAACATTTGCTTCCAGTGAATTTTGTTATTATAGCATTAGCGGTTTAGGAGATATGCACATTAAACCTATTAGAGGCGGGACCACGCCCACTTTTTAAAAAAAGTTTTAACTGCAGATGCCCCTCCCTAATGTGATCCTGTGTACCAAATAACAGTCTTGTATCTTATTGCGGAGCTTAGTTATGGCAAGTTATTTGTTTTTGATTAATGGCGTTTTGTGGGCGTGGCAGTGGTCCGATTACGCCCATCTGCAATACCAACCGTCTCACGGTACCAAGAAACATGTCTACCAAGTTTCATAAAGATATCTCAATTTTTACTCAAGTTAGAGCTTGCACGGACGGACGGACGGACGGACGGACGGACGGACAGACAGTCACCCGGATTTCAACTCGTCTCTTCATCCTGATCATTTATATATACATAACCCTATATCTAACTCGATTAGTTTTAGGTGATACAAACAACCGTTAGGTGAACAAAACTATTATACTCTGTAGCAACAGGTTGCGAGAGTATAAAAAGTTAACTTTGGTTACACTGAAAATGCCCTTCGCACATAAAGATGTTTTCATACAAGAACTAGATTTTGATAGTTCAGTTTGTATGGCAGCTATATGCTATAGTGGTCCGATATCGGTGGTTCGATCAAATTAGTTGCTTCTTGAAGAGAAAAAAAAAAAAATCAATGCCGCAAAAACTGAGGTACTAGATCGCGTATATACAGACAGCCGGACATGACTAAGTCAACTCAGTTCATCACACTGATTATTTATATATATTATTTTACAGATATATAAATGATCACTGTGACGGGTCTCTGACGTTGTCTTCTGTGTATTACAAATTTCGTTGCATACTCAATATATCTTATTCTTATTTAATAAAATTAAGGATATGTTTAAGATATTTCCAATTTAATATCTTTTCAGCAAATTTTCTTTCTTTACTATTCTTCTACAAAAATCTTATATTGAAGGAGCTTATATTTTCATTCTAATCTCAGCTCTGAGCCATAGAAAAACCTCCCTAAAACTGTAATATAATTACCAACACACACAAACACATTTATAAACCAAACCAAAATCAGGCACATTGCTGAAAAATCTATAAAACGTGCTGTTCTTTCTTTAAAACAAATTTCAAACTACTTCCTTTCCGCGCATAAAAGCTGTTATATTTTGCACCACAGCAACAACAACCACCGCTTTTTGATTTGTTCATTTCCGTCCTGTCGCATAAAAAGTGTATTTTTTTTACTTTCAAATTATATTTTGGTTGCTGATGCGCTAAAACTATAAAACGGTTCAAAAGTCGTTGTTGTCGCACAAGCAGATCAAAGTGTTGTTGTTGTTGCCATTGTAACCCCTTACTAGTGCAGATGTATTGTTGTGACTATTGTTGTTGTTGTTATTAACTGGTGTTGCTTGTTTGTCAACTTCAATGATGATTTTTTGCTTGTTTTTGCCCTTGTTGTTGTTGCATTCGTTTCGTATTTTTTATTTAGACTTTTATTTGCGACTATTATTATTCGGTACTTTTCGTACTTCAGTTTGTCACAAACGCATGTTGCCATTGTCAAGCGCAACATTGGCTGTTGTTGTGTTTGCTACGCCATGCCGGTGGTTGTTTCTATTGTTGTTGGGCTTGTTGATGCTGCTGCTGATGAATGCGCGTTAATTTTGATGGCTTTTTACAATATGATGCCCTGTGCGTGTGTTATGCTGTGAAGTGACGCGATGTGTTGTGATGCGCGTACCAACACCAAAAACACCCCGTAACATTTTTCGAATAGTGACAAAGGATGTTCCCCCAAAAGGAGAGAAAAAAATATAATTTTTAGCTGCTTCGCGCGCAAACAAAAGAGGTAGAAATTTGATGCGCACCCTTTGCCGCACAAACGCAGCGAAATAAAAATTCGGCAGCGAAACCTCCTTTAGCCGGCAGTTCGTCATTTCATCATTCACTGGTCTCATAAATGCGAAATATGATAATGCATTATTGTTACGGCTGCTCGAATTGCTGTCGCTAGCGGCGCCACGTCATCATTCGCTATGCGCAACAGCGCGCACGTAAAATTGGAAACTTGTACTTTTTGTTGTCGCCTTTTAGGGGTTGCACCAGGCGGACATAAATACAATTACCTTCTGTCTATGTTGACGCATTGCTTTTGGGAAGATGATTTTTGCTGACACAAAAATTATTCCATTTTTTATATACTGTGTGATGGCAGTGAAAATGGAGGTGTGGCCACATTTACTGATACGGGTAATTTTTCGCTACTTCGCGAAATTAACTTTTGTATGGCGTTTTTAGTGCGGTAATGCGCAATTAGCAGCTTAGTGAAAGGAAAGGACTTAAGAAAAAATCTTAACATTTTTAATAAAAATAATAATAATAAAAAAATGTATGTATAAGTCTTTTAATAAAAATGTTTAATTTTTAATTTAAAAAAATTACATATAATATAAAAATATATATTAAAATTTTTTTTATATATATATTTAAAACAAAAGCAAAAATCAGCAAAGTCTTCAAAAATTATAAAATCGCTTCTCAACGAAGTTAAAATAATTTTTTCGCTTTAAGACTTCTTAACAACTTTCACTGCGTTATGCCAGACCAGCAGACGCCTGCCTGCAGCGCGAACCGTTTATGCTACAAACTTCTTCAACTTCTTCAAAAAAAACACAACAAAAAACATAGTTAAGTGTGTGAAAATGTTGGCTCTTAGCTCTTAGGCGTGCTACCTCCACCACAAATGACGTCAATATAGCAGACGTAAGCGCAGTCATAATAATTTCCTATGAAAAATATGAACAACAACCAGTGGAGAAACACTTCAAAGTTGCTGCTTTTGCCGCCAAAACGCGCATGCGCTGCCGTCTTTAACAGCCGGCACTTTCAAGAAAAGCCCTTTGAAAATGGGCCGCTCCACGTAAGCACTTACAATGCACTCCACTTTATATATACACCAAAAAGAAAAGAGTCAAAAGACAATGGTCACAACAGCATTGGAGCTCCTCAAAAAACGAGGCTCAAGCTATACTCCGTGGTGTACTTGAGCGGACAAAGCGAAAAAAATCACATTAAAAAAGCAATAAAGCGAACGCTAAACAAAAGCGTTTTTGAACGCATCTTTTGCATTGAATTTTACAGATCTTTACTACCACTACTACAACAACAACAGCAACAACCGATTTCAATGTAATGAATTATTTACGGTGATAGGCAAAAATTGTAGCTGCGCGCGCTGTTGCTGGTGCTTGCGCCACACGATGTAACCACTTACAAGCGGATAGTGGTCGGCTGTTGCAGCTGCACTGCACTGTGCGGTACTGCGCCGTAGCAACAGACAGTGATAATGCATTTTCTGTGCAGACGCTCATGCGCGCCCAGTTGTCTGCCACGCCGTGTTGACTAGTAGCTTGGTTTTGTTCGTAAGCTCTTTTTATAGATCTCTATTGTGTTTTTGCTTTATGAGTTTTATTTGTATGTATGACTATACATATACATATATATTCTTTCAACGCACAAAGCAGCTTACGTCGCTTTAAGCGCCCAAAAGTGGCTGTAGCAAATCATAAAAATGGGATTTTCAGCTTAGCTTTCAATCTTTTGCTGCGTTCAACCTTACTGTTACCGCTGTTGTTGTTGTTGTTCTTCTGTGTCATTTTGTTCTACTTTTTTTAAAAATGTATTTTTAACACACAAAAATTGTGCACTCAATTGTTGATTGTTTAAACTTTGCCGCTACATGAGATTCGACTACGACTAGGCATTCGCGTCAATTGTCGGAGCTTTCTGTACATTAAGCTTTGTAGGTCTGTTCATGTATTCGCACATAAGCTAGGCGTGTCGCAATTTGACTAAAGTAATTAAAATGATGAATTTATGTTGAAGTTTATTAGGCGAACCTAATACTATTGATTTACTAGTGAGAAAATTAAAAATAAAAAGCTTTATGGTATATATAGGTTTGTATAAGTGTTCCACCAATTTTAGTGGCCTTAAAATTCTGCTTAAAACTGGTCAACGCGTTTGCTGTGTGGCTCAGCGCGCCTTTACGGTTTAAATAACCGTTCAACGTGTTGGAAATTTAATTAAATGCACGCAAAATTATTTCGGACAACAATGTTGCTTAATGGCGCTCATTAAAATGGATGCTTTTCAGCGACGAGAAGCTACCTTTTTGGCTTTCTTGTGAGCGAAATTTAACTTTTTTGTTTTTGCGTTGACTCACTGTTCTACTTGCTGCATTTGTTTCGATTTCAAGGTTACTTAAATGACAGCACTTTAGCACAAATCACCCACACAAAAGCGCATATCACGCTCATGCCCTCTTCTAAAGCTTTTGATATCACCTACGCCTTCGCTTTTAATGCAACAATCATATTTTATGTCTCAACAAAAAAAAACACAACACGTAATAAAAATAATTTGTATTTATGCAGCACTTACCAGGGTCTGATGTGTCTAAGACAGGTGGTTGTTGTGATAGTGGGCCAGGTGTACTACCAGCGCCCGGCGACCTAGCGTCATCGTTCATGGCGCCACCATATGACAATTGTGAACTAGGGGGCCGCTGTAAATGAAAAGCCGAAAGAAAAAACAAATACAAATTAATATGAATCATATGTGGTGCGCATAACAAATAATTGTGTTAAATAAATTTATGGCATTTTAAATATGTAAATGGTTAAATTTTAAAAGTCCTAAACATACTTATAGTAATTTTACAGCTACTATGTACCGAATCACTACCGCCATTATATGTATGTATTGTATATAACGCGCATCATAATTGAAGTCACGGCTACTCGTGTTTCGACAACGCTACGCGGCGTCTTCGACAAAGAGCGCTTGTGTGCGGGCTGTGCGCTGAGTTCAAAGCGTCTTTTTATTAACATTTTGTGTATGATTTAATTTCTTAATTTTTTTATAATTTTTTTCTATTTTTTTTTTTTTTGTAATGAAGTGCAATTAAAACTTAATTGAGTATGCTGCAGACAGCTTTGCTTGTGTACGAAATTTTGCTTTGGCCTTTGGGTTGAAAGTTTTTTAAAGCTTTATAATAGCCGCATTCTAACCACGTGTGCTACGTTCTCAATACTTGCATACATAAATTTTTCAGCATTTTCAACCAGCATATAATCAGATATGCTATTAAAAATATTGCTATTTATATTTTTGCAGAAAAACATTATCATTATTTCATTCTAGAATGAAGAAACGCAGGAAATTATTTTTACTTTGACACTTAATTTCAAAGTAAATGATTTTGCAACATAAAAAATACTGGAGCTCCAAACAAAAAAAAAAATAAATAAATAATAATAAAAGATAAAAAATAAAGTTTAAAAAATTATAATTACAGAAGTAATGTAAAATTTTATATTTAAAATTATTATTCACTTCTTTTTTACAGTTAAAAATCCATTTAAACTTTTTTCTATGATTTAGAAACCCAATTTACTAAGCATATTTTTAAAATATTTCCTTAATTTTTATTAAGTAATGCTTTAACCAAGTAATCAATTTAAATACAATAACCCATCGCATGTGGCATACCCCCGTTTTCTTATAATGCGTTTGATACATCTTATACATGAATCCATTTATATATTTTATTTCCTACGATTTGTTTCTTGAATACTTAAAAAACAGTTAAGCTTACAAAAATTATAAAACTTGATATTTAAATTTTCAATTACAACTACTGTCATTTTATCATTATTAAAAAAAAAGAACAATATACTTGCAATATTTTTAAAATAATTCTTAAGTATTGCTTCACCAAGGTAATTACTTTCCAAGCAACTCTCGCTTTCACAAAGTGCTCTCAATGCCTGCATTACTTTTATCTCTTTCTCCTACAAATTATGTATTTTAATTACATATTATTTTTGTGTTTTTGTAATTAAGAATTTTTCAACTATTTTGCCCACGCATGCGCAGCCATGTAATATACGCGTCGACTTATCGTTGCTTGTATGCAAGTGGGTAATTAACTGGGTAGCACATAAATTTTGATTAGTGCCGACAAAGTGGCATGACTAAAGCCACATAATTGTCTGTTGTTTTTAAATTTATTATAAATTGCTTATTAGCATTTTTTAAGTTAATAAAATCACTTTTGACTAATGGAAAAGTGTATGCACACGCAAAAACTGACTAAACAAATGTGTGTAATTGGTTTCAGAAAAAAAAAATAATAATAATACTAATGCATAAAACGTGACTGTCTCGTTTACATTATTGGTAAAAAGTAATTAAATTTCGTGAGCGACGCCAATCGAAACTTAAGTACAAATATAAACAAGCCGCCTCATTGCTTCGCCTTATAGAATGAGAAGTGTTTGGAAATGTATTAATTTGACAATAAATTAAGTTGAAATTACAGTCGACGGTCCAATCAAAAATAAGCGAGAAAATGTATAATTTTGCTTTTATGACGACCGAAGTGTAAAATATAAAATACATGGACAAAATTTTGAAAAATTTTTAAAATTGTTTTGACGATCGACGACGAGCACACATATCTCGAATTCCTGACTTAATCTACTTTGTTCCCGTTCTATTTTATGCGCACTGGAAATATTTATTTAAACTTTACCTAAATTTTAGTACTATTCAAAATGAAATAAAAATATATTATACATAGTCGCATGAGAACACACTAATATGGAAATATTTTGAATATTAAAAAAAAAATGTGTACTGTTTTATTAATAAGTAAAAAAACAAATACATTTTTTAATAATTAAAGAAAAAGAAAAAAAAATTATTTTAAAAAATAATAAAAAAATTTAATTTTTATAATTAAGAAATTACAAAAATTAAAATTTATATATTAAAATAATAGTTATGTTTTTTAAATGAAATATTAAATTTTTTAATTAATTAATTTTTTTTCTACACGCACACACTTTCACTTGAAATTCTATGATTATTGCCGGCGTGGAGTTTCCCAGTAAGCCGACAAAATTTTCCTTAACAAGTCGACCGATCGACTAGACCAACCTGTCGGCCTGTCAAAATGTCAAAAACAAAATGATGGGCTTTACGCAACGCTGCATACATATTTAAATATTCACACACGAATACAGACATATATACAGGGACACAGAAGCACCGCCAAACATGCGAGCACGCTTAGCAAATCTTTACATAAGCACGCTAAGCGACGTATATGTGTACATATGTACATTTGCGTGCATTTCAAGCGCGGTCAGAACGTCTAGACTATGTCTAAAAAAGTTAAGGCGAACAGCTACAAAATTGTTATACACAGGCACATACACACATATGTATATATGAAAAATGTTTTACAAATTTACAATATACATATGCTTGCAATTTAAAAGAAAATCGCAAGCGTAAAAAATTAATATGCGGCTGCTTGCGCGTCTAAGGTTCACACATGTGTTCTACTGCATATTATACGCTTATATGTGTATAGCACATATGCGCTCTTACTTTGCTTTTGTGTTTGTTTTCTTCTTCTTAGATGATTTTCACAAAAAGCTTGCAACATTGACGCGTCACGTGGCATGTTGCTGACGGCATATTAAAAAATGAAAGCCGGCTTAGTGTGTACAAGTATTGTATAAATTTCAGGCTGTTTACAAAATAATATAGGAAAGCTAATTATATAAAGCAGGTGAAAGGGCAATTATCTGCTTAAAATGAAATGCGGGAAATTTCAAAAAGTATTGTAGATATGTATAATATTGATAAGTAGACTGAAACACAGAAAAAGTTTGAAACATGTACCATAATTAAAAGTTAGACTTCTGTATTTAAAACAAAAAAAAAAAAATTAAGAACAAATTTCAGAAAAACTCATCAGCTGTGAAAGCTGAGTGCGCAGGCTTGATTTTCTGTGTTAAAAAGTCTATGGTGATAATAGGTATAAAAAAGTTTTAAGGATCCGCCAAAATTCAGTTCACTTAGAAGGAAAACTTCATTTATAAACATAAATTTTTATTCTTCATAAAAAAAAAGTTTTTACTTCGAATAAAACGTGACTGAATCTAAGCAAATGTAGAATGGCAAATTTTTTTCTAATCAAAGAGAAACAATTCTCTAGTTGTCAAATAATATTATACAAGCTCAAATTAACCTGATCGGCTCACATCACCTTGCCTATTTTTTAGTCCACACCGCCAAGCCACGCCTTTTCCCACACACCGAACTAATATTTCATTTTTGCACGCCGCAATAACCAATTATAGGCAACGCCATAACCAAGCGACTGGCAACAATAACAAAAATGTAAAACTCTCCCACCATTTGCTGTAGCTTTTCATAACTAAAAAGCAAAAACAACAACCTCCACTAAATATGAGACCACGCCAACTAATGCCTTTTTTAAATGCAGACAACGTTTGTAAATAGTTAATAAAAATTATTTGCATTGCATTTTAATTGAATGTTTTCAAATTTACTGCACACAGGACAAGCATGCGAAATGACAATAATCATAACTATTAAAAGCGAAATGTTAGATGAGGTGAAATTCAAATGCGTGCAATGGCTAACTGCCATTACGGGTATGTTTTTTAGGCAGAAATATACTACTTTATCTTTGGTACACAGTTATATAAATAATTTTTATGTGAATAATGTAATAAAAATTAAAAAAACAAACAATTATGTATGAGACTGACAACACGGAGTACACCAATGCCTGTTATAATAAAAATAACTCCTTTAAGAAAAAATTAAAAATAAAAATATTTAAATAGTAAAAACAATTACAAACACAACAGCTTAAAAAAGCAAGACAAAAATCGGAACTTCGATTATAATTACAAATAAGTCGCGTCACAGGCTATTGCTTTGCCTTTGTGGCAAACGTGTTCTATGCAAAATTACAACAACAGCTTGCGTATTATCAGCAGTCACAAGCAAATTAATAAGCCATATATACATGTAAACTGTTCGACGTCACTTGAATACATATTAAATATATGTGAGTACTTACCAAGAGCACTCAAAAAAATATTACAAATATGCTTGCTGCTACTTTTATTTCAACTTTTTTAAATTCGCTTATTTTGCTTTGAAAATTGCTGTGAGCATTCTGAGAAGTTGCATAAAAATGCAACGAAATTAAATTTGTTGCAAACATGCGCAATTAGCAACACTCGCGCTGCTGTTTGCATGCAAAATTGGTTTAGAAAAATAAAAAATGGCAACTAAGAGAAAAAGATTGTCTAAAAATTTTTTTCATATTTTTAAAATTATTTTTATTGTTTTATATTGAATTTTTGCTTATTATATGCAATATATGTGCCTTTATAAAAATATTTTTTATATAAAAAAATTCAAATAGCACACAACTTTTTCATTTTTCTTATAAATTTTTTTTATCAATAATTTTTCTCATTATTTGCAATATGCTATCTATGCATGTATGGTATATGCATAAATATTATTATTTTCCTTTACAACAAACACAAAACAAAAGACTTAAGCGCGCAACTTGCGGACACGTCTTGCGATGGCGCTGCATGATTGCGCGCTGTTGCTGCAGAGCGCTACCAATTCGCAGGAAGTGTTTAAAATTGTGCTATGCCT